CATAGTTTTTCTTATCCATTCATTTGTTGACAGGTATTTGGGTTGCTTCCATCTCTTTGCTGTTGTGAATAACGCAGCAATAAACCTGGGTGTGCATGTATCTGTTTGAGTTGTGGCTCTGCTTTCTTCAGGGTATATTCCCAGTAGTGGAATTGCTGGGTCAAATGGTATTTCTATTTCCAATTTTTTGAGAAAGCGCCAGGTCACCTTCCATAGCGGTTGCATACCCTCACCTGTTCTGAGTTTCTGCTCTATTAACATGATTTCATTGCCCTCTAAGGTTCCTTTTAATGTTATAGCTGATGTTAGATGGATGCTGGCAGAAAGCAGAGAGTATCAGAGCAATGTCTGGCTGTATGTCATTGACTATGCAAAGGCTTTTGACTGTGTGGATCACAACAAACTATGGCTGACTCTGAGAAGAATGGGAATCCCAGAACATTTGATTGTTCTTATGAGAAAGCTATCCTTGAACCAAGTGGCAGTCTTCAGAACAGAGCAAGGAGATACTGCGTGATTCAGAACTGGGAAGGGCAACCATCAGGGATGTATTCTGTCTCCATACCCTTTCAACCTGTATGCAGAACAGATCATCCAGGACGCTGGGCTGTACAAGGAGGAATGTAGCATCAGGATTGGTGGAAGATTCGTCAACAACCTGTGTTATGCAGATGACACAACCCTGCTTGCTGAAACTGAGGGGGACCTGAAGCGCTTTCTGCAGATGGTCAAGGACTGCAGCCTTCAATATGGGTTGAAGCTCAACATCAAGAAAACAAAGATTCTCACCACTGGGCCATTTGCCAGCATCAGGATGGATGGTGAAGAGATTGAGATTGTTCACAGTTTTAGTCTGCTTGGCTTCAAAGGCAACACTCTTGGTACCAGCAGCCAGGAAATCAGGAGACGGATTGCACTGGAAAAATCAGCTGTCAGGGATCCCTCCAGACTAGTGAAGAGCAACAATGTCAGGCTGGAGACTAAGGTGCACCTGATCCAGTCCACAGTCCTCACAATTGTGTGCTCTGTGTCAGAGAGCTGGACAGTGACTAGGGATGATAGAGAATTGATGCCTTTGAGCTGTGGTGCTGGAGAAGAGTGTTGAATATACCATGGACTGCTAGGAGAACAAACAGGTTTGTCCTGGAGAGGGTGAAGCTGGGATGCTCCTTGCAGGCAAGGATTCTGAAGCTTCATCTGACATACTTTGGACATGTTGCAAGGAGGGACTGGTCTTTGGAGAGAGAAGTCATGCTTGTGAGGGTGGAGGGACAGCGCAGGAGAGGAAGGCCCTCTATGAGGTGGATGGATTCAGAGACTGGGGTAATGAGGGTAGGTGAGTCGGAGACAGTGAGATTGGCACAGGATAGAGCAAGGTTTAGGGCTGTTGTACATAGGGTCACTATGAGTCGCAGTTGACTTGACGGCACATAACAACAACAATAAGAACAACAACGACGACCACCTTCGCACTGGAAGTGCAATTCTTTTACTAAGAAGTCACCAGAGCTCCCTGAATATACTATAGGCTGGAAAACAAACCCCAAACAAAAACAAAAACTCGAAAAAAAAAACCTTAACCAAACTCCTGCCAAACCCAAGCCAATAACATCCTGAAGGCAGTGCTCCCTCAAGGCAGGCATGGGGAGGCTTAGTCTCCAGGCCTTGGAGAAGGACATCGTGCTGGAAAGGTAGAGGGTTCTCGAAAGAGGAGAAGACCTTGGGGAGATGGATGAACAGAGTCCCTAACAGCAGGTTTGCAGACGCCAGAGAGTTAGGCCAGCACAGGACAGGGCAAGGTTTTGGTCTGTTGTCCACCATGATATGTAGGAAACTACGTGACCCCTCGTTCATGCTATGCAGTGAGCAGTCGTGTCTGGGAACAAGGAGAGAGGTGGGCCATCTCCTCCTCCGTGGTTTACAGCCTTGGAGGCCCCTCGAGGGGCAGCGCTGAGTCCGTTCCCAATTGAGGACGAGGAGTTTTTATTTCCTTCCCCCTTCATTAGAATTACTGTGTTTTCTGTCTGTGTCTTTCTCTGTCTGTCTGTCCCTCTCTCTCTGTCTCTCTCTGTGTGTGTCTCTTTCTCTCTCTCTCTCTCTGTCTTTCTCTCGCTCTTTCTGTGTGTGTCTCTCTGTCTTTCTCTCTCTCTGTCTCTCTCTCTCTCTCTCGTGCTTGTGCGTGCTCTTTCTCGCTTTCTTTCTAAAAGAGAACGTTCAGCTTTTATTCTGTGTTAATTTTGTATTCTATAAACACGTGCAAGTCTGAACTGTGTAAATGTAGGTCATTACAGATTTCCAAAATAAATCTTATTTTTTATTAGAAAAGTTGTTTAATCAATTTGTTTTGTATATTTTAAAATTCTTGTACAATTTTTAAAATTTTTCTTTATTTTGTCAATGATTCTCAATAATCTCTCAATCCATTAAAAGTATTGACTCTGCTGGGGAAGGAGGAACAATCTCCTCTTGTACCAGTCAGATATGATTTGACGGTACACACAAAAAAATAATAAAATATATTTTTAAAAAGTATTTAAATATCATTCTTTTTCATGGCTTATTACATAATTTCTATAGACTTTATTCCTCTGGAACATTTTCTGACTATATATTGGTCACTTGTTTGAATTATTTTGTCCTTGTTTTAGGGTTGTTGGTTTTTTTCAATTAATTTTAATTAAAGTTTATAGAGACTTAGGGTTTCCAGTCATTCATTGTTGCAATAAAGCTTATTTTAAGGTAAGCAATAAAATACCCAGACCTCCAGTTTGATTTATTTTAATTTAATTACTTATTAAAGATTCTGGTTTGATCATAAATTTATTTTCATGTATGACACTATAGTGGTAAAATTAAGATATCTCCAACCAAAAACATACATTTCTTTAACCATTTCTCCATTAGTAGTCAATCACAAAACTCAAATGTTAATGGGAATTTATGGGAAGTGAGGAAAGGAATAAATCTATATGACTAACCTACGTTTCTATTGTCTAGTTACTGGTAGGGACCTCAAAACTCAAATGCTAGTGGGGATTTATGGGAAGTGAGGAAAGGACTAAATCCAGATGACTTACCTATGTTTGTCTAATTACTGGGAAGGATCTCTACTGGCTTATCGGGAAGGAGTTACCCTGTCTGGGTTGGCAGTGAATCTGCCTTAAATGGAGGGAGAGTCTTTGGATCATAGCGTGGAGACGTTCATTCATTACGTTCTCAGTAGTAGATCATAGGCTCCTTATTAATTTAAAAATGAATCATCTTTAAGTGATAGAGCCATTGTTTGTCTATTTCCTGTACTGAGTAACTAGGAGTTGCTATGATACCAAACACCGTGCCATGTTGTAGTTGTTTCGTAGCGACCCTATGAACAAAAGCCCTGAAGCCCCTCTCCAACTATCGACATTTATCAGAGTTCATAGCATTTCCAGAGGCATGTGGTTTTAGGAAGTGGATGCCACTCCTGCTTCCAAACTTAGTATGTTACTGTTGTTATGTGCCATTGGGTTGCCTGGGACCTACAGCGACCCTATGTACAGCGGCTTTGAACCCTTCCCTGTCCTGAGCCAGTTTCACTAATTCCGACACACCAACCCCCATTGTCTGAGTCACTCTATCCATTTCACTCAGGATCTCCCTCTCCTGTGCTGTCCGTCTACCCTTCCAAGCATGATGTCCTTCTCCAAGGACCCGTCTCTCCTGAACACATGACCAAAGTATGTAAGACAGAGCTGCAAAATCCTAGCCTCCAAGGAGAGACTTGGCTTTATGCCCCAAGACAGAACTATTTGTTTTCTTGGTAGTCCATGATACTATGTTCAAGACTCTTCTCCAGCAGCACAACTCGAAGTTATCTATTCTTCTGTCATCCTTAGACATTGTCCAACTCTCTGAAGCATAATAGGTAATTGAGAAGACTTTGGCCTGGACTAGGTACACCTTTGTATCTAGTCTGACATTGTTGCTCTTCAGCACTCTGAGAGGTCCATGACAGCAGATTTTCTCAATGTAAGTAGTCTTTTAATGTAATTTAATTTGAAAACCCTATGCACTGTGACATAGTCGTGTCAAATACCATAATAGTTATCCATCACGTACAATGTTTGGAAGAGCTTCCAGATTGATTCACGTTGGGAAGCAGGAGTGGCATCCACTTCCTAAACTAGATGCCTCTGGAAACTCTGTAAATGTACAGAAATGGTGTTAGTTATAGAACAGAGTTCAGGTCTTTTGTGCAAGGGTCACAATGAGTCTTACTCGACTTGACGACTCCTAACGACTGCTAAATGAGACTAGAGTTACATTTGGAAGAACACTCTTCCACTTTGTACATCACTCTTTGTCAATGTGCTGTATGAAGTAACCTGGGTTGACTGGGATGCTGAACCTTGTGCCATTGGGGTATCAAATACCACCATGATTTCCCACTGTGGACAGTGTTTGGTGGAGCTCCCAGTTGGAAAAGGGGTTTGGAAGCAGGAGTAGCATCCACTTTCTAAACGACGTGCCTGTGGAAACTCTATGAACTTGGAGAAACAATGCTAGTTATGGAAAGGCATTAGGCCTTTTGTTGATGAAGTTACTGGGAGTTGTGCTCGACTCGACGGCAATCAACAATCACAACATGCTAACAACGTGAATTCTCTACTAGTGTCCATTTCAAGGACTTGACAGAACTGTGTGGTTTAAGTGCTTGATTCTTTGTTAGATTTGTACAATCTTTTAAGCAGTAAATACCTTTACATCTGTGTCTTTCTAGTCAGTGGTTTTAAGTAGAAACAGTGGCATCTACTTCCTAAAAAACCAGGTCTCTGGAAACTCTATGAACTTTGCTAAATGTCGATAGTTGTAGAAGGGGTTCAGACCTTTTGCTCATGGGGTCGCTATGAGTCGTGCTCGACTCGAAGGCAATCAACAACAACTTGGTGAGTATTCCATCATTTGTTTTCTAGATTCCACATTGTTCCTCAAACTCCTTTCCCCTCTGAATCAGAGGAGAGATGGCAGAGGCAAGTCTGGACTTCAGCTTGTTGTGGTATCTGGAGAAGCTCAACAATGAAGACTTTGAACGTTTCAAGAGGCATCTTCCCGAAGCCCTTGTAGAGTTTGGACTGCCCCCTCTTACAGGCCTTCAGCTAACGGCCACTGAACGAGAAGATGTGGAGAAGATGTTGACGACCAGCTATGCGCCCCAGGCCATCTGGAACATCGCGTTCGGCATCTTTGAGAAGATGGGTTGCTGTGAGCTCTGCGATAGGATCAGTGCTCGTCGGGACCGTGAGTTGGGGCCAGATGGAGGGCGGATGGGGCCAGGCACAGTTTCTAGGGAACTCCGTTACCTTGACAAAGATCTTTCATCCCCAAAGAGCTGTATTCTGCTCTAGAAATGAGTAGTGGTGGTGTGTGACTTTTTTGTGGGGGACTTTGTGACTCTGCCCCCTTTCTCTGCCTTTGTGGTGACGGCAGTTAGTCAGCTAGGCAGGTCTGGGGCTGCTGGTTGTTGCCGAGACAATGTTCTCCTGACGACTCCATGTGTGATCAGATGCTCTCGAGGTGCCGAAGAGTCCTGGTGACTCTATGGGCTGTCGATCTGACCCTTGCCCTGTCCTGCATCCGCCTTGGTCTCTGCCACCGTGTGTCAGTCTCTCTTTGACCTGGTAGTTTTCCCAGAATGATGTCTTTTTTTCCCAAGGACGAATCAATCTCTCTTGGCAACATACCCACAAGCATGTGAGAGGAAGTGTCACCATCTTTGCCTGTAAAGGGCACTCTGATTGCATGTCCTCCAGGAGAGGTCGGTGTTTTTGGACGTCATCAGCACGCATGTAATTCTTTGACCAACACCTCATGGGTTAGATTTATACAGGCTTCTTTTAACGTCCTGGGAGTGGATAGCGTTGGCATCTGTGTCCGTCTGATGACCCACTGTGCGGCAGAAACACTAGGGAAGTGGTTTATACCTTTTGAACTGTAATCTGTGTTTTGTACTTCTTCTGCTCTGCACCCTCCGGCTTAGGTAACGAGGAAGCATACAAAGAAATTATAAGGAGAAATATCACACTTAGTTTCAGAGAAGACCTTTATCCGCTGATCCACAATGACTTCTACAACGAAATCTCATCAAAATGTTTACAAAATTTTGAAGCGATCTTCAGTCCTGGGGTGGGCATGGAAGAGAGGTCTATTGTCCTCATGGTGGGAGACGAAGGGGTTGGCAAAACCATGGTCATCAAGATGATGTTGGCCCGATGGCTAAGTGGGGAGATGTGGAAGGGTACCTTCAAGTACATCATTCCGATCTCTTCCTGCGAGATCAACCACATGGATCCCGGTACCTTTGCCCAGCTGCTCTCGAAGGACTGGCCAGGCAGCCAAGCTCCTATAGCAGACATCTTGGCCGACCCCCAGAAGTTACTGTTCATCATTGAGGACTTTGACAGCATAGAGTTCAAGTTAGACACGGATCAAGGCCATCTGTGCACGGACAGCAAGGAGCTGGTGTCAGGACCTGTCCTCTTGGCCAGTTTGATGGAGGGGAAGATGGCCCCGGGCTGCTCCCTGCTTATTTCAACCAGGCCGAGGAACTGGGCCTTCATGTATAAATTCACCAACGCAAGGTCCCACATATCCTCTCTGAGCTTCTGCAGCAAGGCGAGGGAGAAGTACTTCCAGCTGTACTTTCCCAACGTTGTGGACTACGAGACCTACGTGGGGTACATCGAGTGTGACGAGACGCTCAAGGAAGTGTGCAGCACCCCCATCCTGTGCTGGGTGGTCGGGGAAACCATCCGGGAGTGCGCCGACTTCACGTCCACCGGGATATTCGTGACTTTCATCTGCAAGATGTTTCAGTCGCTGGGCCCCATAAGCCCCTGGCAGAAGATGTCCACGCTCAAGCGCCTGTGTTCGCTGGCTTTGCAAGGCCTGCTGCAGAACGTCTTCCACTTCAGCGACCAGGATCTGGAGAGTGTTGGCTTCGTCGACGGGGACATCTTCGACTTGCAGGCGGCGAGGCTCCTGGTGCCCAGCAGCCGCCACAGAGGCCGGTACATGTTCTTACACCGGCGCCTCCAGGAGTTCTGTGCAGCCGTGGCTTTGATGACGGTCTCAATCGAGGTCACACTCCCCTCCGCCTGTGGAGTGGAGAAGAGGTCAAGGGAGCGAGTTCTCAGCCCCGTGATGGTCTATGTTTTTGGCCTCCTTAACAGGGACGTCTGTTCTTACTTCAATGCAAGGTTCTCGTGTCAGCTGCTGCGGGATTTGTACCTGGAGTACTTCATAAAGGAAACAGAAATACTAGGTCGTGATTCGAGAGCCATGGAACAACATGTCCCCTTGTTCTGCTGTCTCTATGAGTGCAAGGAAGAGGATTTCATCCAGCAGATTGTGAAGCCGTTTGTAAAAGCCACGGTTCTGATCCAAACCAATAAAGACCTGGTGGTTTCCACATACTCTCTGTATCACTGCAAATCACTAAAGAAACTCAGACTCTGTGTTCCGATCTTCTTAAATAAAAGCCACAGTGTGGAGCCAACCAATAGGTGAGTCATTTTAAAAACTCTGTCCTTAGAGGGAACGGTATCTAAATTAAGACTAAGACTTAAAGAATAAGTTGAAGTTAGCTTGTTTTATAGTGTACAATTAGTGTGTGTGTGTGTTAAATAGAGTGGAAAGAAAATTTTGATCAAACACCTTGGTCATGGGAAAAAATATGGGACATTTAATATTAAAAAGTATCAAGTAAGTTGGGAAACCTTTGAGAGGCATAGCTAAAAAGTGTTCAGAAGTCAGATCATGAAACACCTCTTATGCAGTAAGTACAACCTACCAATTTGGTGATTGTGGGCAAATTGTCAGAAAGGGTAACTTCTGGGGTCTCAAACTTGTATCTTGCTGTGTGGCTAGGTAAGGGAGGGGAGAGGGATAAATGAAGGATGTGAGAGGAAAGGGGGGGGAATAATAAATAGTGCTGTGTTCCTTAAAAGACAGGCAAGTGGGGGTGGGGAGATAGAGGGAAGCTAACGTCCAGGGCACTGACGGAAGGATTTGATTTAAAGTAGACAAAAAGCAGCATTTCAATTACAGCAGAAGGAAAAGGGAATGCGTGGACCCAAATACAAATGAGCTTACTGAATTTATTAAACATGCATATTTTGTATTCTGCCAAATACTTTACAAACATTATTTCATTCTTAAAATAATTTATTTTCCACACACACACACACACACACACACACACACACACCCCCCAAACAAAAGAAACGCCCTCTGTCCTGTTCCTGAAATGTGCCCCTTACTTCACTGGCCATTAGCCGTCCAAGACTGAGCTAGAAACAAGCTGAATTGGGTTTCCAGTCCAATCTATGCCTGTGCTGCTGCTGCTGTTGTTGTTGTGATCGCCTTCGAGTCCGAGTCGAGCACGACTCCTAGCGACCCTATGAACAAAAGGCCTGAAGCCCCTCTACAACTATTGACATTTATCAAAGTTCACAGAGCTTCCTCACAGAGTTTCCGGAGGCATGTTGTTTAGGAAGCGGATCTGCTTCCGCTTAACGCTGAGTTTGGGAGTGAGATCTCAGCATTATTGACATTTGAGGGTGAGATGATTCTTTGATTTTGGAGAACTATATTGTCTTGCAAGCACTGGTGGCCTGGTGGCAAAGAGCTGCGCTGTGGACCAGAAGGCACATGGTTCGGGTCCACCAAGCTGCTCTTTGGGAGGCAGCTCTACAATCTCCTCCTGGGTCGCTCACTGCCTCTGCAAACCTTCTGGAAGCTCCGAGGTGAGCCGACGCTCACCTGACCGGAACAGATCTTGATGGCACATTATAGAACGCCTGGCCACCACACAAGCCTCTGCCCGCTGTTGCCAGCAGCACCTACCACATCCTGCCCCTCGTTGTGACACTGAAATGAGCTGGATGGTCCCAAATATTATGTTGGGGTCCCCAAAATTGCCTCCCGTTGAGAACCACTGGTTTACCTCCATTTCCTCAGACCTGTGGTGTAGCTTAATGGAAATGTTCTCAATTACTTCACCATGTTCTAGCACGTAGCATGCAAGACTTACCAAGACGTAGTAATCTTAATATTAGTGAAAAAGTTCACACCCAAGAGGCTATTCTCAGTCTTAACCTGCTAGACCCAGTCCGATTTCTTCCCACTTGGTGGTAAGTTATGGTCTCTGGGGGTATGAACAGTTAAGCTCATGACTAGTAAGCCAGGCTCAGTGGTTCAGACTCACTCGGTGTGTCAAGGAAAGCCTAGAAATTTGCTTCTACAAAGTCTACAGCGCAGAAAACCTTCTAGAACTCAGCTCTTCTCTGTTATGTGTGTGTGTGTGTGGGAGATGATATGAGTTGGAATTGACTCAAAGGAAATAAATGTATGGTTTTTTTTTTAACAAGTATAAGAGTTCCTGAGCAGTGTAAAATCAGGAATTGTTGGACTAATACTAAGTTAGGTGGCTTGGACCCAGTCAGAAGCACCTTTGAAGAAAGGCCTGGTCATATTTTCCCCAAGGCAACACTGTTTTGAAAACCCTGTGTGTTGGGTCTACATGGGGTTACCATGAGTCCAAATGGGTGCCAAGGCAACCTGGCTGGAATTTTTCTGTATATTAAGTCCGAGGCAGGAGCTCTGGACTCTGGAACACTTTCATAATTTTTTTTAAAATTTTATGTTTTTATTTAAATAGCATTCAGTTTATTACAAATATTTAGTATTGGCTTCCCATATTTTCCGCCCTTTGTTTTTATCACAGTTATGTTACACTTTCGTAATCTTAAGATAAATCTATTAGTGTCCATTCAGCTGAATGATACCTCTCCATCTTTCTCTGCCCCAAGGAGGAAGCTCAGACTTTGGAAAGAATTCTGCTCTCTACTTTATTGCATGAGGACAATCCAAGAGTTGGAAATTTATAACAGCGTATTTGATACAGTTTCTGGAAAAATCCTCTCACAAGCTCTGAACCGTGGAAATTGTCAGCTTCAGACACTCAAGTAGGTGGCATCAAGGACCTGAACCTTCCCGGGCCTGTCCTTCTGCTCGGAGCAGCACTGCCCACTTTCTCCTTGGAAGAACTTAATAAACAAGGGGTGATCACTGCATGGAATGAGTCACCTCTGCAAGGTGGTGGACAGGCAATTCGACGCACTGGGGAAAGGGGGTAACCCTAACATTTCTAGTAAAGTTTTCAGAGAACAAAAGTGGTTGCAGACTGAGGGTAAAGTATTCTTACAATTATTAATAAGACAGAACCAGAAATGAGATAAAACAGAGACTGAAGGGCCTCAAGCCCTGCCTCTCTATTTATTGAGAATCATCAGGAAGGTAAACAAAGGAAAGTCACAAGGGAGTATAAAACAAAAACAAGGGATCAGGGGGAAGTCTTTTGCAAATAATACCCTATTGATCCCTTGTTTATGTGCTGTTCCAGTTGTTTTTGGATAATCTTGAGCAGAATCTTGCTTGCAAGTGATATTAATAATATTGTTTGATAATTTCCACAGCGTGGGAACAAATACCGAACTCTTCCAATCAGTTGGCTAAGTGGTTGTTCTCCAGATTTCTTGGCACAACTTGGTGAGCAAATCCAGGGCAGCGTCTGTTTGTTGAAATATACCAATTGGTATACTGTCAATTCCTGGGGCCTTGCTTTTTGCCAATTCTTTCAGAACAGCTTGAAATTCTTCCATCACCACAGGCTCTTGTTCATACGTTGTTTCATGAAATCCTTCCGTGTCCACCAATTCCTTTTGGTACAATGACTCTGTATACTCTTTCCATCTTTTTATACTTCCTGGATTATTTACTCTTCTGCCCAAAGCATCCTTAAGTATTGCAGCTCGAGGCCTGAATTTCTTCTTCAGTTCCTTGAGCTTAAGAAATGCTGAGTGAGTTTGGCCCCTTTGATTTTCGACTCCAGCTCTTTGTACATTTCATTATAATACTTTACTTTGTCTTCCCAAGCTGCCCTTTGAAATATTCTGTTCAGCTCCTTAATATCTTGATTTCTTCCCTCTGCTTTGGATTCTCGGCACTTTAGTGCAATATTCAGAGTCTCTTCTGACACTCATTTTTGTCGTTTCTTCTTCCTCTGTTTTTGTAATGACCTTTTGCATTTTTCCTGGAAGACTTTCTTGATATCCTACCATTACTGAATGGTCTTCATTCACTAGTGTTCAAGGCCTCAAACTTGTTCCTGAGACAGTTTTGAAATTCAGTGGGATACATCCATACAGTCAAACACCTTTGTATAATCAATGAAACACAGATATAGATTCTTCTGGTATTCCCTGCTTTCAGCTAAGATCCATCTAACATCAGCTACAATATCCCTAGTACCACGACCCCTTCTAAACCCAGCCGTTCTCTGCTGATGTGCTGTTCCAGTCGTTTTTGGATAATCTTCAGTAGAGTCTTGCTTGCATGTGAAATCAATGAAGCCGTTAGAAAAAAACAAAACAAAACTCGTGTATGCTTATATTTTGCATAAATTTGTTGTTTCTTGTAAATTGGTTTACGATTTTTTTTTTGTTTGCCCATTTTCATGTTGGCCTTTGGTCCAGAGAAACAATTTTTATCTTTTCTCTTTGACGTTCAAGGATCACAACTGTCTTAACAAAGAGGTTGTCTCATGCCGGGTTATGTTGAGGTGGACTTAGATGTCAGTCTCCCATCATCTCAGGAGCTGTCTCCTGGGACCCTGATCAGAATGATTAGCCCTGAGAGACGGGCACCATCTGGTTCTAATTGCAAAGGGGATGAGGCCGTGCTCCTTGTAGACTGCTAGTCCTTGACTCTTGCCTGGTAGAGATTGGGAGCGCTGGTAGGGGTAAGGAGCTGTGCTGTCAGCCTGAAGACACATGGTTCAAATCCACCATCTGCTCCACAGGGGAGAGAGGTTTATTATCTGTGTTTATTAGTTTTACATCTCCTCCCGTGCAATTTATGATGTTGAAGTGTAATCCATTATGAAGACTGTTGTCTTCGATCTTTTGCAGCAAGTTTTCTTAACTCTTGTTTCTATCGAGTCTTCCATTCAACTTCTTCCTGTCTATTGGACTCTAACCCTGGGCAAATTCTGCCCTTTGGACATCCTGTGATTATAAATAGTATGTTATGTTCTTAGTGAAGGCTTACACAGGAGTTTAGGTTCTCATTCAACCATTTTTACACACATTGTTGAGTGACATTTGTTACTGGGTTACATTTCTCTCAGTGCATGTTAAGCAATCATGCCTGAGACAGCCTTGGAGGTGACTCACTGTCTCCCAGATCTGTGTAATATGGTGCTTATGGATACTGAAAAAAAAAATCATGCCTGAGGGATGAAGAAGAAAATTAGGTGAACTATCAAGGGCGCGCAGGTGGGGAGTTACATGCCATGGGGATTACCAAGGCCCAGAGGGAAGGGTAGAATCGAAGGAGTAGATAGAGATCCATTCCCGGAGCCAATGGAGAAGCCTCCTGAAGTTAGATTTCTCATCTCCGGGGAAAGAAATCTGTTCATTTCAGCTCTCTGCTTAGGTATTTCTGTTACAGCAGCACTAGACAGCTCAAACCTTCTTTTTCAAGGTGACATGCTCGTACTAGGGTTAACAGAGGTCCTTGAAGCTAAAGATCTTGGTTGGAGACCAAGTATATGGAGAGATCATCAACACCCTGTAAAACTTGTTCTGGGATGATCAAGGAAAACTGCCTGTGTGATGCTGACAGCAAAGGGTTCCATTCTCAATCGCTGGCTACAACTTTATTGGCTCACACTCCAAGCAGACACCTCGGAAGAAAAGACCTGGCGATCTGCTTCTGAAAGGTCTCGTAGCCTTGGACGCCTTGTGGTGAGGGGCTCTGTGCCGCATCCCACAGCATCCCCGGAGTCAGAATCCACTTACCCTGTGACTAACGACGGCTTCTGTGTGTTTTGCAGGATGTCGTACCTCAAGTTCAACCTCGCCTTTGTGAACTTGTTCAAGACCATCATTCAGAAACGGCACCTGACTCACCTGAACCTGAAGTGTACGTCTGTTACCCAGGACATGTTTGCAGTGCTGCAGGAGGTCTTGACCCAACCAGAATGCAGCATAGAGCAACTGAGGTGCGTCCTTGTTGTCTGAATGTTGAGTGTGTCCAGGGGGAAGGGCTGGAGACTGGGGTATCGTGCAGGGACCCGCTGCCATCCTGAGCGCAACTCCTGGGGCATATACGTCAGAGTAGAACCACCCTCTGGAGGGCTTTTGATGGTTGGCTTTCTAGAAGCACACAGCAGGGCTTTGTTCCAAGGTGCCTGGGCGTGGACTCAAACTTTCAACCTCTTGTTGCCAAGCTGAGTACATTAACTGTACCACTCTGGGACACTAATTGGTGTCGAGAGATGCCATTTCAGGCAATACTGGCTTCTTCTCCACGGTTTTGTGTGCTGTTGAATCAGAACTGACCCACAGCTGATGCCCCAGGTGATTTTTCAGACAGTAGATGGCAGGCGAGGAGACTGTCCCTTTCTTTTCCACGGAGCAGCTGGCGGATTCGAACTGCTGCCTTTGGGATTGCAGCACAGCTTTTTAACATCTAGGCCAACAGAGCCCCCTTGGTGTTCTTAGTGCCTTGGTTTTGAACACACGGCTTAGTTCTCTTTCCAAATGTTACTCCTGTTCTGCTTGGCCTTGGTTTCTACATGGGAGATCTTTTCCGTAATGAGTCTCATGTCCTCAATGAATAATGCTCTAATAGTCAAGGCCCTCTGCTCATCTCATGGCCCAGACTTCCCTTGTCAAACCCTACAACAATACTTGATGTTGTTATGTGCTGTCGAGTCGCTTGCGAGTCTTAGTCACCTTAAGTACAACAGCCCTAAACCCTGCTCTGTCCTGTGCTAACTTCACTGTCTCTGACACACCTACTCCCACTACCTCACACACTGAATCAATCCATTTCTTGAGGTTCGTTCTCTCCTGCACTGTCCCTCCTCCCTCCCAAGCATGATGTCCCTCTCCAAGGACTAGCCCCTCCTTGCAACATGCCCAAAGTATGTTAGATAAAGCCTCAGAATGCTTGCCTCCAAGGAGCAGCCTGGTTTCATCCTCTCTAGGACAAACCTGTTTGTTCTAGCAGTCCATGTTATATTCAACACTTTTCTCCAGCACCACAGCTCAAAGGCATCAATTATCTTTCTGTCATCACTAGTCATTGTCCAGCTCTCTGACGCATAGCAAGCAACTGTGAAGACTATGGCCTGGACCAGGCACACCTTAGTCTCCAGCCTGACATCATTGCTCTTCAGTACTCTGGAGAGGTCCCTGACAGCTGACTTTCCCAATGCAAATACGTCTCTTGATTTCCTGGCTGCTGGTACCAAGAGTGTTGATAGCGGAGCCAAGCAAACGAAAACTGTTAACAATCTCAATCTCTTCACCATCCATAATGATGCTGCCAATTGGCCCAGTGGTACCTAATAGAAATATGGTGTGAGAAATGAAGATAATTTTAAAAGTTAAAATTAAAAAAAAAGAGAGAACCAGGTGAAATCACATCTCAACTCATCAAAATTATGCCAATATTAAGGTTGAAAAATTATTCATGAGAGTTTTAGGAGTCCCTTGCGTCACGCAAGTGGTTAGTACACTTTAGCTGCCAATGAAGAGTTCAAGTCCACCTAGAGACAGCTCAGGAAAAAAAAAGAAAATAATCCTGGGGACTTAACTTCCAGAAAAATCAGCCCATGAAAACCTTATGGGACACAGTTCAGCTACGATTCATGGCGGAATTTCTGTGACCCAGTTGACTGAATGGCAATTGATTTTTATTTACTAAAAAGATTTCACTTTCCTTTTTTTTTGGTGGTTTTTTTATATTTAAAGAACATCTCTATTCGAGGCTGTATTTCCATCCAAAATGCCTTGATTTAACTCTTGACTTCATGAGCTTTACATCTGAAGGGCAATTCACAAACCAAATGGTTCTGCATGTACTTAGACAATTTCTAATAGCTACATTTAAAAAAAATCCAGACAGATGAATCAAGGAGCTTATAGAAATTTTTTTTCTCCTTTCTTTTTTTATTATTGTTAGTTTTAATGAAAGTTTAGAGACTTTGGATTTCCAGTCATTCATTGTTGCACTTTTCTCCCTGCCCACCCCTCCCCTGCCCCCAGTTCTTTCTCACCGTTGACTCTTCCTGAAATATTTCCATGTTGGCCAGTTCTTTTAGGTACAGTAATTCTCTGTATTCCCTCCATCTTCTTTTGATGCTTCTTGAATCCTCCAAGATTTTGGTCTATACCATCTCTAAGTATTGCAACTTGAGGCTTGAATTTGGCTCTCAGTTCTTTCTGCTTGAGGCATGTCAAGCAAGTCCTTTTTATACTTCAATTCCGGATGTCTGGAATGACACTGTAATACTTGGCTGTATCTTCTCGATGCCCTTTGAGATCTTCCGCTTTGCTTGTTTACTTCAGCATCTTTGGGGAAAGGTCCAACTCAAAAGTGAGAATTAGAAACTTTAATAATGTATTAAATGTCTCTGAATTGTAGAATTGTATTGTGACACTTTGTGATTTTTTTTCAACAGACTTAAAATGCGCTCACCAGCAGATACACAGACAGATAGACAAGACAGACATGAGTAGGTGGAATAACAACAGCCTTGAACATTTACAGGATTGGCTCAAGTTGATGTTTCAGATGGTTGCTGTCCACCAAAACAAGATGAAGGCAATCAATCCAATTGAAAAATGGGCACACATAACTGCTGTGAGGTGCCATTGAGTTGACGTTGACTTACAGTGACTCTCAGAACAGACTTGAACCTTGCCCTGTCCTGTGCCAACCCATCTGTCATTCCTGAGCCCACTGTGTTACTACCGTGTCCTTCCATCTTCCTGAAGGTCTTCCTCTTCCCCTGACCCTCTTGTCTTTCCCAGAGTGATGTGTCTCTCCAGGCACTGGTTCTTGAAAACACATGCCCCAAATAAGCGAGATCAAGTTTGACCATCTTTGCCTCGACGGGGTACTCTGAGTGTACTTCCTTCAATACAGATTTGCTTGTTGTTTGGACAGTTACGGAATATTAAAAACTCTTTGTCCACACCCTACTTCAAAGGCATCAAGTTTCTTCTGTTGCTTACTGTTAAACATTCAGCTACATTGGTAGCAATTGAAAATACTGTGGAATGGACAAGATACACCTTAGTCTTTAAAGTAGCCTTAAAATCAGCATTTCCCCCCCTCTTTATAACTTTGGGAGAGGTCCCTGACAGTAGATTTTCCCAATACATTGTGTCTTTTGCTGTCTTGACTGCTGCTATGATGTGTTGATTGTGGATTCAAAGAAAATGAAATCGTTAACTGTAGTCTTCATCTATCATCATTTTAGCTATTAGTACAGCGGTGAGGATTTTTGATGTCGAGATGTAACCCATATTGAAAGTCACTCTTTGACTTCCTTTAGCTAGTGCTGCCTCTTCAGTTTCTATAAACCAGGTTGTGTCATCTGCTTGGGGTTGTTGATGAATTGGCCTCAATGCTGATGCCACATTATTCTCCACTGAGCTCAGCTTCTCAGGTGACCGACTCAGCATGCAGATGGAATAAGTATGGAGAAATGATAAAACCCTGATGAGACTCTTTTCTGATCTTAAATAATATGATGTTCCCTTATTCTGTTTGGACAACTACTTTTTGGTCTATATAGCTTTCACGTGAACACTATGTCAGCATCATGATAGATGATGAAGAGATTGAGATTAACAACTTTAGTTTGCTTGGCTCCACAATCAACACTCTTGGTACCAGCAGCCAGGAAATAAAGAGGCAAATTGCATCGAGAAAGTAGGCTGTTGGGGACTTCTCCAGAGTACTGAAGAGCAACAATGCCCAGTCTGGAGACTATGCTGCACCTGATCCAGGCCATACATAGTCTTCACAATTGTTGGTTATGTGCAGAGCTGGACAATGACTAGGAATGACAGAAAAAGAACTGATGCCTTTGAGCTGTGGTGCTGGAGAAGAGTGTTGAATATACCATGGACTGCTAGAACAAACATGTTCATCCTAGAGAGGGTGAAACCAAGTTGCTCTTTGGAGGCCAAGGATTCTGAGGCTTTTGGGCATGTTGCAAGGAGGGACCAGTACTTGAAGAGGGACATCATGCTTGGAAGAGTTGTTGTTGTTGTTATGTGCCGTCGAGTCGTTTGCGACTCATAGCGACCCTATGTACAACAGCCCTAAACTGTGCTCTATCCTGTGCCAATTTCATTGCCTCTGGCACACCCATCCCGATTACCCCAGTCACTGAATCAATCCACCTCATAGAGGGTCTTCCTCTCCTGCGCTGTCCCTCTACTCCACCCAGCATGATGTCCTTCTCTAAAGACCTGTCTCTCCTTACAACATGTCCAAAGGTATGTCAGACGAAGCCCCAGAATTCTTGCCTCCAAGGAGCAGCCTGGTTTAACCCTCTCTGGGATGAATCTGTTTGTTTTCTTGGCAGTCCATGGTACATTCAATACTCTAGCACCACAGCTCAAAGGCGTCAATTCTCCTTCTATCCTCCCTAGTCATTGTCCAACTCTCTGATGCATAACAAGTGATTGCAAAGACCACAACCTGTATCAGGCGCACCTTAGTCTCCAGAGAGACACCGTTGCTCTTGAGTACTTTAGAGAGGTCCCTAACTGCAGACTTTCCCATCGCGATACGTTTTTTGATTTCCTGGCTACTGGTGCCAAGAGTGTTGACCGTGGAGCCGAGCAAACCAAAGCTGTGAACAATCTCAATCTCTTCGCCATCCATCCTGACGCTACGTATGCTGTGTATGGAAGAGTTAAGGGACAGAAACAGAGGAAGAGCTTTGATGAGATAGATTGATTCGGTGACTGGGGTAATGCGGACAGGTGTGTCAGACAGCGAAGTTGGCACAGGATAGAACAAGTTTCAGGGCTGTTGAATGTAGGGTCACTATGAGTCGCAGGCAACTCGATGGCACATTAAAACTCTGAGTAGCAAATGAGTTTTAAAGCCTTAATTTAGGCAAAGTCTTAATGTGATAAGGTCGAACTTACTGACCTTTCTTTGAGGAGTAAAGAAGAAACAAAAATAGATTGAAACACATACTCAAAAGTTGGGACCATCACCTTCTAGGACTAGGTCGTGCCTGGGTCCCCCCCATTGACCACACTGAAAGATCACGGAAGATCCTGAACAAAATGAAGGGAAATGGGGAAGAAAACAGAAAAGTGGCAAGGCTGCCTCATGTGATAGAGACTGGTGGACCCTGGAGACGATGACCTTCAGTTACATTTTTGACCTGGAACAAAACTTGCCCCGTGGCTCCACTTTCAACTGGACAGTTGAATTTGACCCATAGCACAAGAGGGACACTCACTACTTAGAATGACGAGACACAGAAGGTTAGAAGGGCAGAGCTTGGCTCCGTGCAAAGCCCAGAGCGCAGGAAAGGATAGAAGGATCAAAGAAAATGAGAATGGTGAGAAAGTGGGAAAAGTGTGATTACTTGGTGAGTACTGGAAATGATGTTCAATAAGTTTTTAATACTCTTTAGGAGTAAAGAAAAGAATACCCTGAGTAATCAAGCTATGAAACAGAATGTGCGTGTATGGTTGGCTCCGAATCTTTTCTAGGAGGACTGACGAGTCTCACTCACTTTATCTGTATGCTTTTCCTTCTTTAGTTTGGTGAGATGTGATCTGAAGGCCGGTGTCTGTGAAAACCTCGCTGTTCTTATCAGAAGCAGGAAGCTGAAAAGGCTGAACCTATCTGAAAACCCACTGGGTGATAAAGGAATAAAACACTTATGTAATGTTCTGATGGACGCAGACTGTGTTCTCCAGTCACTGAAGTAAGTTGGTGATAGAAAGCCCACCATGTAGAAATCAGGGCACGGTTTTGAACAGTGTAGGGTATGTGGTGAAAAGAAAAAAGCCATGGGAGACGGATGGAACCACAAAACACAGAAACGGAGGGCACGGTGTTTAGAGTCAAGTCCGGGTTAAGATCCGATACAACTATTTCTTTATTTGATGTCCTTTCATGAAAATCTTAACCAAATCGAAAACGTCAAACCAGACACGCTTTCCACAGAACTTAATTCTCGCTTTCTTGGCCCTGAAGGCGAAAGCAGGTTTACCCATCCCTGATTCCTCTCAACAACTAATTTTCAGAAAGGTATTGAAAAAAAATTTCCTTTCCTCAAGTTCCATTTTTACAATCTGGAGGATGAGATAATCACATGCCCAACCTCATGGATTCGGGGGAGAAATAAAGACCGGGGTAAGACAATCGTGGAGTGTGTAGGTAGCACGGATAGCTCGCTGCTGCATCACGAGCTGGGTGGTTGACCGTCAGAACTCGTCTGGAGAGGCCTCAGAAGAAAGGCCTGGAAGGTCGCAGCTGTGCAAACCCTGTGGGGCTGCACTCTGTTCCGCTCACATGGGCCCTTTCAGCTCCTGGGGACCCCAACAAGGAGGTTTTAAACACAGCAATTGCTTAGTAAGATCAGAGGATGGGGCTTAGCACTTTTTAAGTGGGCCACCGTGTATGGTGAGGAGTGTAATATTGTGGGGAATATGAAGCCGGAAGGAAGAAGTTAGCTCCAATCTGAGTTGACTGGACAGCAGATGGCTCTCTCTCTGTACTAAAGGGGTAGGGGTGTGTGTGTGTGTGTGTGTGTGTGAGAGACAGAGAGAGAGAGACACACAGAGAGAGAGA